TAACCTCCACCCTCCCAACTGAACCTCCTGCCACCCCAAGTAAAGCTGTCTAAACCAGAGAACTGGATAACCACTGATGCAATAAAAAAAAGGCACTCAAGTTTAAGTGGAGGGACTCTAAATGCATGACTACCCCCCCCCCCAAAAAAAGAAGAAAATCCTGCCGAAAACCAGTTTAACGCTATTTCGCCACATTTGAGGACCACGTAGTTCTCAGTCTTTCCACATTTTCAGCAGTTATCTTCAAACTTGCATAATGCAGCTAGAAACAAATATCTGAATTCACTCGGCAGGTTCTTTAAACAATGACAATGGACACATGAATAGGTACACCTGCTTCATCTAAAACTAAGATAATGCTTGGTTTTGATTGATATTGTCAGCGAGCCAATGATTCAATACTGCGTTTATTATTGTTGTAGTTTGCAGCGGTTGCAGAACGACTCGGCTTCAAACTGCGGTGGCTTAAATATACTCACGACTTAGAACGCAAATATCAGAGACATCCGCTCAACATGATGCGGTGCGACTTCTACTTCAAGCTTCAACCACAATAATAAACATGCTGTTAAATTAATACTTGACTGTTTTCAACTTGAATATTTGTGCAGGCGTATTTGGTAAATTGGCCTGTGAACGCATGCATGTCAGAAATTGTGTCCAATGGGTCTCAGATTTTTACCGCTGTCCAGTTGTGACATTTTGCTTATTTTTCCAGGGTATTGTGGAGACAGGGTTATGCAAACCGGTCCCACTTTGTCATTGTGGGGGACGCTCGGTTGCTTTGGAGATCTGATGTTTGGCGAGTATGAATAATAACCATATAGCAGCCAATGATGCACATCTGCCTCGGATTAATGCAGACCCCTCCTGCGGCGCTGCCTTGCATTCCTCTGCACTCCATCAACTCCGTGGGGTTTTATTTCATTCACAGTGGGTGTAAGCAGGTAGATGCTCCACCCCTGCGGGACGCTCGTTGGTTCACGCGCGCACCCCCTGAGTCGCAACAATATGTGGCGCCAACCATGATGTTATTGGATGTATTGATAAAGGTCATTTTCATCTACCGGTAATTTCATCAAGTTAGATGCTTGCAAATACAATTCTAATTTAAAGCCAATTTTTTTTTCCCGCCAATGCCACCTTGATTTGGCGTGTAAATGTCTCACACGCTGAAACAGCCACGTTTCAAGCCGTTTTTTTCAAAATTATTGTTGATTTTAGGTGTTTAGCGTAAAATGCGATACTTATTGACAGTGCAACAATACACTTCATGCAAAACGCTAAAGACATCAACGGTTTCATAAATCTCATGTAAGATGTGCAATTTGCATGTGTAAGCCACCAAACTCTGCAGATACAAGTGCATAAGCGTGTGTTTGTACAAAGTACAATGGGAATAACATTAAAGGCATGCAATAGTTCTGATTCTTTCAAAAAATTCTATCATATCTCAGAAATAACCATTTATTTTGCTGGCCGCTGTCATGTGGATGCAAAATGCTGGCCTCATCTTGGCATTTCACGGATCCCTCTGGTGTATTGCAACAATGAAGCTCTCTCCAGTGACATTAATGGTAAAGACGGCTTGAATGAAAATGACAGATCATTTGTAAGTGGCCCCCCTTCTCCCCCCAAAATAAATAAATAAATAAATGAAAAAAGGGGGGCGGGGTAACACATAGACACTAAGATGTATTTGCATTACTTTTCATGGAAGTGGAATTAGCACCTTCAGAAAACCGACGCGCAAATCATGAAACTTTGATTGGGAAAAATATTGATCGATATTTTGACATTAAAAGTTTGAAAAATATGACTGTCAAATATTTTTGTTTGTTTTTCGAAACAGGTGTTCCATTTGAATGATAATAACTGCCAATAATTGAAATACCCATATCAGCAAAATTAATGTATTTTCAAAAGAGAATTCAAATGGGCATGTCTTTACCCTTATTGATCAAATTACAGAAGGTGACGGCAATTTATGATGAGTTCTTTAATTTTAAAGTGTAATTCCTGCACCAGGGATTTCAACACTCATCTTTGTCGAGGCCCACCTTGCAATTATGGTTGGCCTCAGAGGGCTACTGTGACTGCGAAAACATCACCTCGTAATATTATCACACAAAGTATGATATAAAAAGGTGTATGTATGTATGTATGTATATATATATGTGTATGTATATACAAACAGAAGGGTGTATAAATAGATAAGTACAGTACACATAAGGGTAAAAGTACTTGATGAGAGGTAGATCTCTTCCTTTTCTTTTGCATTGAAAAATGATCTATTTATATTATTACACAACAAGGGGTAGGACTAGATAAGTTGTATACTTCTTCCTACTCCTTTGAGCATATAACGATGATGATGTTTGTTTTATTTACTTTTATTTTTATTTCTCCTTTTGTAATTTTGTTTGCCTTTTGTCAATTGTTGTTGTATTGTATGTTCAATAAACAATTAACTAACTAACTTACTAACTAACTAAGTATACACAGCTAGTTTTGCACTCAAAGTCGAAGAAAATGATTTGTTCAACGACTGTTTTTTCTTTTTAATTTACTTATTTATTTTACCAAAAAATGCTTGCAGCGTCACAGTGTTATTTGAGTGAAGACTGCAACCTTGGTTGTGATTTTCGAGAGAAAAATGAAGTAAATGCACATAATTTGATGCGGCCGGACCTGGCCCTCGGGCCTTGAATTTGACACAGACGCTATACACAGTTGGGTCTAAACTATTTGCATAATGACATGACAAAGTTGCTATTATTGTGCCAGTATATATAATCACAATCACGTTGAAAGAAAACAAGTGATGTTGGATGAGGTGTGGCCTTTTTGCTTTGGACACCGTGAAATAGTCGGTACTGTGCGACAACCAATAACAGTATCAATATACTTTGTTCTACTTTGAATGGGTGGCACACAGGGAAAACACCAACATTCTGAGTTTCCTCCTCGTAGGAGGCCTTCATTCGCAGCTTGTTTGCAGCTCTTCCAGACTTTAGTTTTGTCTTTGGTCGGCCGAAGTGAAAATCGGGTTCTGTTGAGCTGAGATCAGGCCTTTGACTTGACGATTTTACAAACTGATAAGTAAAGTGGTTAAAAACTGTTGCTGGCCAAATAAGCGTAGGCTACTTCTGAATCTGTCTGGATAGTACACTGATTGTATATGGTGCACCGGCATTTTTGAGGGCAGATGCTCAAGCCCCCCCAAAACACCATCTGCCAAAATTATTCATATAATGCAGGGGTGTGTGTGTGTGTGTGTGTGTGTGTGTGTGTGTGTGTGTGTGTGTGTCTGCAAGCGCGTGCATATATATATATATATATATATATATATATATATATATATATCAACACAGTGAGTGGAATATTTGACAAGGACTGAAATACCCATCAGATATCAAAACATCAATGACAGAGCGAATCCAATTTTGTAAGCAAGAGAGTACAGCGTATTGATTACATGTCAAAATACTGAGCAGGGCCATTAGTTCAATTTGTGACAATCAAGCATAGGTTTAAACGAATTTAAGCCTACGCCTAAATTTAATCTCCATGGTAATATTTCCAAAATGGCTGTAAAACCGAAGAGCTCACAACAGCCCGGTTGACATGTTGGCACACACAACTTCGTCTGTACTGTATATCAGAAGATTTTTTTGGTCATGGTGAAGGAGATAAAATATCAACATTGAGCAATATATCTCATGTGTTGGACCACACATAAGAGCACAAGCCTGTTGACGCCTGAGGCTTTGACTAGACCCCAAAAGTGTCCTCCCCAGAGCCGCAGTGCCTTCATCTGGCTGCAACATTTTCAGTAATAACACTGCAGAGTCTCTCTCTTTGGATGCATACTGCATTTAATGAATGCGTTCAAACGGTTCTGTCTCTGCACTTGCCAGATCAGCTCACTAAAGTACAGCACTACTGCAAACAAGCTTGGAGACAGACTCCCCACTAAAAAGTAGATGACTCTGCACATTACCATTCTGCTATGCGTGGCATTGGCAGACTTCATTTGTATTTATATAGCCGAGTGCAAACTGTTGTTGCATCTCCCCATGAAGCCGGCGAGTAAGCATGTAAATATAGGTGTTTGATCAAAACAGAAACTGAATTGTGAGCCATGATAACAGGTTTCCAGTGACATGATGTATTGTATATTTGCAGACACAAAAATGTACGAGCCTGTATCCTACTCTAGTAGTGTGCATGTGCACCAGAACTATGAATAAAAAAAAAAAAAACACAACATTCTGGAGCGTTCAAATATTACAAAGAACGCTCAGGTTGCTATCAGTTAACGCACACTGCCTGGAGACTGTCACAGGATGTTTTTGTCATTTTCGTTTTGTACCTTAATTACATAACTACATAGCAATAATTTTTATATGTGTATATATGTATTCATAAGGTGCATGTGTGTTTGTGCGCATGTATCTATCTATTTGTAGCTCTGGTTATATCATGGAATCATGAAGTATACATTTTCTATTTTATCATCATGTGTTTGCACTGCATTATTTAACGGGCGCTGTGACAAAGGCGTCCGAAGGTTTTTGACAGGCATGTCAGTGTGTTCAATATGATTAAGTATTAGTTTCTTTCTGAAATCTATAATTAAAATATTGTTCTGTGACGGCTTGTTATGGCACAGAGATGCTGCAAATTTCCTTCGTGGGGAAATGACAACGTTTGTGGCTGGAATAACTGTGACCTTAATGTGGTCTTTAAACGTCAAGGTGAATGGGAACAAAAATAAAATCTGATTGCAACACCTGGAATAAATTACACTATTTTCTCATGCATAAGTTTCTATTCTAGACGCTCTATGAGAGCTCGTTTAAACGTTTGCCCCTGATTATTAAATAAAAAAAGAATAACAATGAAAAAAAAAACGTTTCATTGTTGCACGACGCACAATTGCGCATATGATGCCTGCGAATGCCCACCGGAGTTTTTGCCCGTCTAAACCCACTCACCGTAGCAGGGGAGGATGCCGTTGGGGCCTCCGTCCGTGTGCAGCTTGCCGCCCTCGGGGGGCGTCTTGCAGGTGGGTCTGTGCATGAAGAGCTGGTACTTGTGGAAGGGGCCCTCTCCCTCCGCGCCGTCCAGCGATTGGCACTCGGTCTGGAAAGGACTCCGGGACTTCTCCCCGTACGTCTGCGCTTTACTCGCCCCGAACGTGGGGCTGTATTTGGCTTCGGTACTGCCGAATGTCCTGAACGGGTTCGCCTGGTGCTCCCTACCTTGCGAGGCAGGCGGACTATAATACGCATCCATCGAAGTCATGTCGCAGTATGAGACGCACGTATCTGCGTTCATACCTTAAAAAAAGTTTTATTTAAAAAAAAAAATAAATAAAAAAAAGAAGAAGAAGAAAAGAGATATGCAGAATCCAAGCTGGTCTTCTCGCCCTGCCCCTTCTATTCGGCTCTCCTCGAACTTCCACGCAATGCACACTGACGCGCCCTTGCTCGCACAAGCTCAAAGAGGCGCATCTGGGACTGCTTTAGAGTCAGGGGGTGGGGGGGTGAACAAATGCTAAAAGCCCCTCTCTGTGAAGGAGAGCGAGATGTCAGAAGGAGCCCACAGTGGAAAAGCGTCAAGTAGAACTGCGCTGACCTTCAAGCTGCACGCGTGCACTCGGAGTAGGCCCGCTCCGCTCTGACCGCGCTATTATGCACGGATGGGAGGTCAAAAACAAGGAAAGGGCGGGGGTGGGGTGCATTTTCTTCTTCTTCTTTCTTTTTTCCCTTTTTTTTGTGGTGGTAAACACGTGGGAAACGCAACACATGACATTCATGATATCAGGAGATGACTGGCGCAGCTTACATTGCGTAGGTTAAATTAGAATTTTTATTTAGTGCGCCTTACAGCTGCGCACTCCGCGCTGATTATTCTTGTTTGGGGGATTTATACGTTGTGTTCGTTTCAAAGCAAAGTCATTAGGAAGACATAACGGGATCAAGACTTAATTTGGCCCGATTTTTTTTTCCATACTTAATATTATGATAATAATTTTATCATCATTAATATTATGATAGTAATTTCTGCGGACTGGTTGTTCTTAAAAGTCTCGATTGTTTATTTAAATACATTATTATCGTAAACACCAGGCCGTGGCCTGGTGGGCGAGGGAGTCACTTTGCAGACGATGTCTCCACAATGCACAATGGTCACCGCGCTAAACTCCCGCAGTCAGTTTATTTGAGCCCCAGCTGCAGTTGAAATATTAAATTACTTATAAAGCATCACACCAATATTGCTCGTTGAGATGTTTGGCTTGCTCAAACGACGCAGGCTATAAAAGGCAGAATTAAATCGGTTACAAGAGACAAGTTGGGTCTGTGGCCAAATTGAATAAGTCCTCGCCAATCGCTTCCTTAATTTATCCGAAAGCCAAAGAAGGTAATGACTTAATATCTGTCAGCAACAATTAAAGTAAATGAGAAAAAATACCCCGTGTTTATCTCTTGAATGTTTCTTAATAACAGGTCAGCTATACTCGTGTAGTTCATGATGATTCGTCGTGAAATGTCACAATTTATCATCAATTTAAAATTTATTTTTGTTGGAAATTTAGTCTCCATTTAAAATGCGGTTCTTACAACGGTGTATATAATTCAAGCAAGAATCGTTTAAATTATTTGAATAAAGCTGTTTTGTAAGTTATTTAATGTGCCCTGCTAACAGCACGTTAGCATTTATTTTATTTATGATTTGCCCGTTTTTTTTTTTTTTTTTTGCAGATCGAATTCACAGCGGGAAAACTCCCTGCTGATTTGTATTTTTTCATATATATATATATA